CCCACACGCTTCACGGGACCTTGCAGCCTCTCTACCAATTATTTAAGATCAGGACCTCCCAAAACAGGCATAGCGAGGCCCCTTGCCCACTGCTCTCGGAGCAACTTCCACCCACTGAACTCTGTGCAAGAAGGTACTCCTTTTTCCTCCTAGAGGGCAAAAAAGGCCGTTTCTGGAAGCAGTGCTGCACAGCTGACTGGAAAGCTGGCTTGTCCCAAAGACAGACCTGCCAGAAAAGACTTTATTTGTTGTTAGGACCTTGGAAAATAAATCCTCATCTAAGCTGGAAACTTAGGGGGATGTACTGATCACTGATGTTTATACTGGCTGGGGCTTATAACGTGAGGAGCCCTGGCAGGCTGTGCCTGCCACCGGCAGGGGGATGTCACCGGAGCTGCTGGGGACGCTGCTGTGCAGAGCATCCCCAGCTGCTCCCAGAGCGGATCCCCAGCTCCTGCTTCTAGTGAGGGAGGCCCAAACTTCTTGTCGCATCTCTTGAGAAATACTGCTTATGCCAAGAGCAGCCTGAAGTAATAACTTGCTGTTGTAGTGGTCATGGAGAGAGAGAGGGGAGAGAGAAGTCTCAGACTTTCCATTTAGCTTGGCTTGAAAGCTCCCTGCAGAAACCGGCCAAGGCAGAGAAAGGGGAAACATATTAAACTCTCTAAAGCTCTCAATAGGATAAAAGTCTAAAGTGGCTTGTGATCTTAATTCCTTTCTCTGGAAAACAAACACCACATGGTATGATTAAGCTAACCTTTTGGGACAGGCGTATTTGGACTCCTCCTTCCCGCAGCTGCCAAACCCACATCTAACCCCACACAGCTCCCTCAGATGCTTACGTCAGCATTAACAACTCCTTTTACCTGTTTCACCACTTTGCACTATTCCCTCCTTCACTAAGGCAATCCTACCCCTACCCAGCGAGTCTCTTACATATACACAGTTTTAACACTGCACAGTCACTGAATTCATCTAGTCAGTCTGCCTGACAATCTGATTTCAGGGTGCCATTAAACGTGCAAATGGGACTCAGGTATTACAAAGCTTTTGTCACTTTCATGAATCTGTCCCAAGAACCTTCTTCTTCTAAAGCATCCTTTTCTATAGGACTTTTTTCCATTCACAGCTTCCTTCATTCAGTTGGTGGGTATTTGCACACAAACGGGATCTCTCCGCAGCCACAGTCCTTTCCTGTCTATACGCATGTCTCATCTGGGATCGTAGACCCCTGTGGCATTAGGGGGGAAAAAATATATATAGAGTCAAGAACTGCAATGTCATTAACAGAGAATGAGGACATCAGAAGGATACCAGGCTAGCTGCTCAGCTCCTTATAAAACAACCCAGTCACTGAAGAAAGAGTTTCGACACCTCCGTGTGAGCCAGAAAAAAAAAAAAAACCAACAACAAGGAACGTGTTAGGAGTGAAGGTGAATTGCTTTCCAAAGAGCAGGGCTTTAAGGCAGTACATGTTTGGGCTACCATGCACTTCGCCAGATTCTCACAACAAAATAATTCCTCAGGTTGCTCTGAATCACACTGTGATTTCACATGAGTAAGCCAAACCTCTACCACTGTTCTTGTTTCTATGTTTTTGCTTTTCTTTCTCACAACTGCTGTAGGTACGGAGGAAGGGAAGAGTCCTCTACCCGGGTCCCAGGCCTGGGTCACTCCCTGATGCTCCAGTTAATACCTTGTTGTAGGTTAACGTTAATAGAAGATTGAAGTAGGAGCCCTAGTTTATTACTAGAATGGGCTAGGGCTGAATGTTACTGCCCTTGAACAGCTGAAGTCTGAGGATTAGCAGTGCACATTTTCTTCTGTTACATATTACAAGTTTTTTCAACTCCTTTAATATTTTATTGACAGCCTGACCCCTGGCAGGGCTCCATGGCTTATTTTACTTCATAGTTGAAAATTCTGGTTTTAGCCTGGTCACATTTCAACCTGGTGGTTTTTATCCCTACCTCTATCACTCCCCCTAACTCTATCCTTTATCTGTCCTCTATCACTTTTGGCCACTCATGATCCTCTGGTGGTTTCCCAGCCACTGTTTTAACTCAGGTGCAACTCAGAACAGCCTCTCCGGGAAGCAGCGAGGCCAGGTGGAGCGAGAAGCAGCGCGGGCCTCTGGAGAGCTCACTCCTCTCCCTCGTGGTGCCACATGACGGCTGGGCGGCTGCGGCTGAGCCGCTTTCCTCCCCTCGTCTCCCTCCGAAACTTTCATTCATCTTGTTTACTTCCATTGTGACCTCTCAGTGAGCAAAACATACCCCATCTGTAGTGTTTTTATGCACACGTCATCAGGGCAAAGGCAGCTGTGTGTATTCCTAAACAGGTTGGATGCAGCTTTACAAGACCTTGTGAATGATCAAGTATTCATCAAAACAAGCGATGGGATATAGTGAACAGTGAAGGGATGTGCATGAGCAGGTGGGGACAGAAATTTCTTAAGCTGATACACTGTGAAACTGCATCCACAAACGCTAATCCTCCAGCACTTTGGAGGTTGGAATGGGAGTTTCTTAACAGCTCATGATACAACAGTTTAGGACAAGATACGAAGAGTAACCTATCCTTGTGTCCCTGATTTCTCAGAAGAAATCACAGCAACATTTAAGTCCTACGTGCCTACATGACCTAGGTCCAAATGGAAGCAAAATCTGTTACAGGCAACTTGCCTACAGTAGCGACATACAAGTTATGAAATCAGGTATGCTTTCCAGCGCCTGCGCAGTAGTGACAGAGAGACAGTAACTTGCTGTAGCAACTGTTTTGGTGACTGGCATGATGCTACTTTCACCCTGTTGTACCATGTTTTATCCAAAAGCCGTTCCAGCTTTACTAATCAAACCTGCATAGATGGAGCATCAAAGAAGCCCAGCTTTGCAGTCACTAAGCCTTCGCCTTCCCTCATCTGCTGTGTGCCACACTGTCCTAACCCCACCATCACCTAAAGCATGACCTCTCCTTTCTATGGAGCCTCTGTCATGGTGTTGGAGACAGAAGGGACAGCATAGCCTTGGTCTTCACCATGCAGTTGGGTCAGGACACAGCCACTAGGAGCACCTAACCCCAAGGGCTTGGTGCAGTCCTGGCACCTCCAGCTTAGGATGGCCTAAATGCTTCTGAGCTGCCTTGGGCTTATTCATTAGCCAAACCTGGTCCTTGGTTTGCTCCTGACCTATTTAATACCACCATGACTCACATGTTATGGAGAGTAATAGTTATCTGCAGTTAATTTGTATTTACAGAGCTGCCATGAAGGCCAGGACAATTATGAAGGGAGTTTTGTCTCATGAATTCTCTCTTGCTTCAGTCTGGGATGTGAAGCGTGGTACCCTAAAAAGGGTGAAAAGATTAGTAATCTTTATGTTTCATCATCTAAGACAAAACTATTTCTTTGCAAGTGCTAATCGGACATTTTCAAAATTCCCCAAAAGGCCGAATATAGACTTCAGTGTGCCCCTATACATTTAATAGGTGTGATGATTAAGTGAGGATTAAGGAGAGAAAGCAGCTGTTTTTCCTGTTCTTTTCAAGAACTTCAGCCAGAGGCTTTTTACAAACATGAAGTGTTGACTTAGTTTGCCCAAGTACATCTAAAGAAAATGGTCCACAGTGGAGCAACACTTAATTTCAGTAGTGAAATTTGCTCTGCATTCATGCAGTTCCACCAAGTAATTAAAAAAAAAAAAAATCCAAAAAACTGCAGCCATTTTGTAGGGTTCTTCCCCCCCCCCCCTCCCCCCCCCACCAAAATTAGCATTTCTCTCTCAGGGTAGGGAGGAAGGGGTTAAGCAGTTTCAAAACAAGCTGGGCACAACTGATGTCAGATTTTGTCTTACAATGGCATCTATTTGCTTTCCCAGCAAGCAGTATATGAACTGCGAGGCATTGCATTGTTCTGTGGACAGCACAAGGCACCACATATCTAGAGGAGAACAGATTTTCCTCACTGCTTCCAGTTAGCTGGAAGGTCTTGTTTATTTAACAGCTTTGGATTAAAAAAAGTCAAGTTTGAAACTCCAGGAAAAACTTCTCTTTTTGGTTGTTTACTTCATTTTTGTTTTCCAGCGTTTCTTTCTCTGACATAAATAGCTCATCTGTATTCTGCACTCATGCCTGGTGTCACTGTAATTATGTATCACTATAGTTAGATTAAAAGGAAGTCAGCATTAAAATATATTATGAAAAAGAGATTGAATTGACCTTCACAAAATTACAATTGCTCTCCCAGTTTTCCAAAAGCCCTTCCCAGGCATTCAGAAAAAGGGAAGCTGTTACTAGAGGAGCAAGAGCAAAAATCCTTAGCGTCTCGCTATTTGGCCATTTCACCTTATCTGAAAATACAGGGACTTCGGGCAGAGTTAAGACAGGGACCTGTGAAAGCAGAACGTCACTTCAGTTTAAAAAGAAGCGTAGTGCTGAACTTTCTGAAACAGACCTGCCGGCTGAAAATATATGCCTTAGTCACCCTCAGTTTACATGCATTTTTATTAACTGAGAAGTCTCTGAGCAGGCACCATAATTATCTTCCATATGTTTTCCCACTCATTTTTACATTCCAAACGTAGCAGTAAAGAAAAAGCACTTAACGCTCCGCAGCGACAGACCTTAGACAAGCAGGGAGATGGATTTTGCTCAGAGGAAGGAGAGCCGGCTGCCCTGTGCTGCTTTCGCCTGGCCAGCCCTGAGGCTCCCCGGCATGGGAGCTCAGCAGCCAGCACGCTCACTCAGGAAAGGAAACTCCTGAAAACACTTCCCAGCAGTACTTCCAGTCTCACTTACTTCTGGGGAGAGTGGGTTTGTTTATCTCTTTGTCCCAGTAGAAATATTGGGCTGCAGTACTTCAGTACTTTTAAACTCCCCACTCAGGGTACCAGCTAAAAGCATAACCTGTGTTATTTTCACACCTTTGTAGGAAGAAGTAACAGGGACCTGACCGCCACATCAGCAGGTGAGGAACATCACAACAAAGAAATTAAAGCACTCACCTGTCATCAGTGTGTAGTAGTTTGGATAGGAAAGGCTTGGGAAATCTGGAGTCATGTAATCCACCTTCACCCCCATGCTCACAATGTCCTTAAAGCCCGGCAGGGACTCCAACTCCTTGTCATCAAGGTAGTCGAAGCGAAAGCCATCAATGAGGAACACCAGCAGCTTTCGGTGCGTGGCAGCAGTGGAGAGAGCAAGGAGGACAGCAAGGACCATGCAGCTCCCCATGGCGGGCAGCACTGCTAGGGTCGGGGAGCCGTGAGGGATCTGCAGCAGCTTCAGGGCTGGCCCTGGCACTGCTGTCCTCCCTCCTGCTTGCACCGCCTGGGTTTAAAGCTACAGCACTGCCTCATGTGAGTGAGAGGCACTTTGAGGTTACAGGTTAATTGCAAACAGATGATTAACTTTGATTCCAAGAGGCGAGAGGGAGTGGAAGAAAGAGCTTGGTACCTCTCTGTTACGAAAAAATGCATTGCAGTGATGGAAAAAACATTGTACAAAAGTAACTGGAGACTGTAAGCACGCTCCACAAATCAGTGCGAGTGTGTGCTAGCGAACGCTGCCTTCTGGCCTAACAAGAGAAAACAGAACAATGGCACATTAACGTGTGCAGTGGCTGCACATCTGTCTTCAGAGAGTAGCATGTCTCCCCCCAGCAGACCTAGCTCCAGGTCCGGAGTTTCAGCTGGGAGAGGTCTCAGGGAAAGGAAAAGTTTTCCTTAAAGGAGAGCATCAGATCTCCAGCCACATGAACATGCACTTTCTTACCTTCCTTGCAGTGGCTTTTAATAGAAACTCAGGCTGAGATTAAGACAAGACCGCTCTCCAGTTTGAGGGCTAGGATACGCAAGCTCAGGTTCAGCATTTGGTTATCGCAGCTCCACCACGGCCCCTGCCTTGGGGCACAGACAGCATGAGCTCACCTCTGCCTGCAGAATAACCAGGCAGGCGTACCACACGGACCCCGCCACCTCCGCTCACTCTGTGCGGTTAGGGGACTAATCCAACTCCTAACAGAGCAATAGAAAAAAGCTAGTTTTCAGTATAATACAGAACAAATTAGACATTTATTTTCTGGCTGCGGATATAATTATCATTACTGGTAAGAGTTAGGTGGCTTCAAATTTCCTGTTGAAAATAGAAAATTGTTCCCCACTAGGTTCTTCTGCCAGCCACATGAGCCTAGCCATACCTCTAATACAAAGCCACAGTTTGTTATAGACTATAATCATATATTGACTCACTGTACTTACACTTCATTTGTTTTTCTCAAGTAAAAGATGTTAATAGTGCTGTTTTAATTCTGGAACACTATAAAGGAGGAGGAATTATCTGTGAGATAGAGCTGGATTGGGGGAAAGGAAAATATTTGAATTTCTCAATAAAAGGAAGGGAATACAGCTCTGGGGAGGGGCGTTTCCAGCCATTGTCTCATTCATCATAGAAACGGCCCCTCACAGATGTTGAGACCTGGCCAAGGTTGCACTAGTTGGCTGCCATCCAGACATGCAGGTTTGACCTTCATTTGCTCTTTACAAAACTTCCAACTGCATGTCCAGCGTATCTAGTTGCCTCTTACCAAATACTGGACTGACACAAGCTCAGAAAGATGGCTTTCAACCTCCCTTGCAGGCTGAGTCTCCACTGTCTTGTTCCAAATTATTATTTACACCTGTGCAAAACGAGTGCAAAAACAGTCATGTTCTGGCTTACATTTTATGCTGCTTTGTACTTGCTGCCAGCGCCTGTAAGTAAAAGCAGCTGTTTGCAGGTCATCGCTTCCCTGCTGCTCCAGAGGCAGCATGGCTAGCTAGCTAGAAGCGGTGGTATCATTGCTCTTGCCAAAAGGGACTTTTAGTTCAAAAAAGAACCGTGAAATATTACAGCACAGGAAGAGATGTCCGGGTACTTCATGACAGAGGCTTTTCTGTGGGGTCAAGAAAAATTGGGAGGAATTCATTCAGTTCAGCTGGGAGAGGATGGAGGGAGACTGACCATGTTCCAGCCTGTAGTCAAGCACGACTGCTCAGCCTGGTAAACTGGAAATACTAATGTTTAGGACTTAGGATCTTCTCAGTCCAATTCCTTACATGTCCTTTCTATCGGTGGATTAAACACATTCCTCACGGACATTTCCCACTCCATGATTTTCCCACCCATTCATTTTCTTCCCTTTTTCAAGTTCCCCTTCTTCCATCTGCCACCTCAGAGCTCGGTATGTCCCAACACTTGAGACGTATCCTCAGAGCTATGCCTGACCCAAGGGGCCCAGGGCATTTCTAAGCTTGAGCCAGGGGCTCTTTAGAGCAAGACAGTGAATGACCCAGCCCTTCCCTCCCCCCTTACCACCCTGCTGCTGCAGGGCTGCTTCTGGTCAGACACCTTTTACCATGCACAGGGGCTTTGCAAACAGGAACACAAAACTTAAAGCACACAGCTATTACTTGCTGGCTAATACACACAGCAGTTAGTTGGGACTAACGCGGTGCTGAGCAGAGCATTAATGTGCTCACCATAGCCCCCATGCATGCGCCTGACGAACCCCTAAGGGCCATACAGTCAGTCATGAGGAAAAGTATTGGTGACCGTAGCTCCCTGAAACAGGCTAAGCCTTGATTTTGCTGAATTGCCATCTTCCTATTCTCTGCTTTTCTGTTTTTACTGTTTTCACACGGTATTTACCTCTTAGAGCCCTGAGTTGCTAGCTTTTACCATCTTGACAACATTACTTCTGTCCATGTTTTTACTGTTCTTATCTTGCTTGTCTGTAGATTATGCATTTTCTCACAGTGCAGCAGCAGTTTTCCCAGTAAAACCAGGCCAGAGTCACACAGCTGTGCTGAACCTGGGGCCAGAGACAGCTGAGCCCTGGGGCCATCAATACACCCCCATGTCCAGAAGGAGGGACGGATTCACAGCCAGCTGTCACTGGTCCCCAGTCTCGTGGGACAATAACAGGCCCAGGACCACACCTTGGTACTGGCATTGCCCGGGAGACTAGGGCAATACTGGTATGCTATAGCCATAATTTGTGTCATTCAAATATTCCTGCAGTTCAGTCTCTCAGGAGCAGACCCTGTCTGAAGTAGATTTCTTAGCAAAATACTGCCTGTCTTATCCTTTTTCCCAGAGCATGGGAATCCTTTAAAATATTGACCAAGCTGGGAGAGACTTCATTGCTCCTGGAAGTGGGAGCATGCCAGCAAAATGCAGCATATCCAGTCCCAAATGCCAGAGACCAGGAGTTTGGCTTGCCACAACCATGGGTGTAAACCCACATGATTAAAAAGTTTAGCTTTCTTTGGCAACTCTTTCTGAGCTTGTTCTATGCACTTCTGTTATGTGTTCAGATTTTCTTCCTTCAAAAATATGATGGCTAGAAACTTGCAACTTCTTTCAACCAAGGTAGGTATTAACACATCATTTGACTTCAGGAGCTGGGATTTGAAGGAAAACGCTCAGATCATGCAACTTGAGAGACAAGCCACAAGACTGGGTGACCCTGGCAGCTGAGCTGTATTTTGCCAAGGTCCCAGTCCGTGCAAGGCTGCCGCTGCTGCAATGGCTCGGGGAAGACATTGCAGCTGCGTGCTCAAGCTGGCAGCCGACGTGAGGGGCTGGTGGGCAGCTGTCTGCCTGCAGGACTGTGCTGTGCTATACATCACGCCTACGGAGAGCTGCCGCCTTCTGTGGTGTCTCTAGTCACCCCACGAACTCCCCTCACTGTGCCTCTTCATCCACCTCATGAAATGAATTTGCACGTCCTACTTCTGCTGTCTGTGGGCAATGCTCTCAACCAGTGCAGGGCCGGCCAGGAGATGGCCACTCCAGGAGAACCTCAGAGAAAACGTTTCTACTAAGATTTACTAAGGATTTTCACTGTAGCAGAAACTGCATGTGATGGACCTTCGCCAAGCTGCTGTGATAATTCACTATATACGTGTACAGTTTGAATGAATTCAGAAATGTGTCCAGGAATGTGGAGGGAGATATTACTATATATCTCTTAGCAAACTCTTAAGGACATTCACTTTGATATCTTGGCTTGTCTTCTAATGGGTGGTCCCTGGGCTTGCCAGCAGGTCTCAGCAGCAGCTGCTGACAAAGGGCTGGAGTGATAATCAAAGGGAGCCAGGGGGAACAGCAGCCAGAGTTCAAGCTGGACAACCACCTTGAAATGAATGGCCAGGTGTTTGAGGTTGCTAGACCAAGAAGCCAGGCATCCACCATGAGATGGTACAAAGATACTAGTTTTATTATTTTATAGCGTTACGAGATAACAACTCCATTTCAAGAGGGTTACAACCTATAGGTAGACAGCTCCTAAGGGAAAGCTCTCCCTGAACCAATCTAGCGGAACAAGGGACAATTGGAGCAAGGTACCAGAGCCTGAGGTCTGTTTTAAGACTTGGAGATTCACAGGTTTCCACTCAACAAATAATAAGAGCATAACGCCTGAGAGGGGTTAAAGGAGTAGTGAGCCATGTAACCATGAAGCCGTACAATACGAAATTGTGCTTCGGCAGACAATCCCCCTGAAGAGTGGGACTGGAGCCAAGCAGTCTAGCTTGGCAGGGACAGACCCTAGCAGTGCATTTCGTCCCTGCCAAGCAATGTTGATTTGCTTTGGTTCACATTCATTTCTAAGCACCCTGTCTGCACAAGGACCCCAGATGGCCTTGGAGACTCAAGCATAACAGTATTTTGATAGAGATGCTCTCACAAAAGCTATCAGAGCCTGAGCTGGAGTCTGGGGACAACAATTCTCACAAGTTAGCAATAAGACTATGTTTAGGAAGAAGCATGAATAAAATAAGTAAAATCCCTAACCTCAATATTGTACATGAGGAGATACTCCACTGATCAAAACTGTTTGAGACAAGATTCTCACCACTTAGATGGCTCAACAAATCCTCTGGGCAAAAAGCAGTTTTCCGTTTTCAGAAAACTGATTCCAGTGTCCTTGAATCTCTTTTTTCTTTTTATCCTGAAGAAATCACAAAGATAACAATAGAAATGAAAGAAAATTCTCCAGGATCATGCTGGAGGTTCAGTGTGGCTTGCAGGAGGTACCAACCTCCCCCCACAAGGCGGCTCGATCTATGTCCTTAAGTCCAGGAGCGCACACAAGAATAAAAGTTGCTAAAAGTAAAAGATGGTTTCTTTTTCCCCAGTGAAATAGAGAATCCAAAGTGGAAACCTGTCTTTCTTTTTTTTGCTGGAAAAAAAAATACAAGAAAGCATAACATGAACCACTGTCAGCTTGCAAT